CTCGTCATGGAGCAGATTGATTCGTTCCGTCGCTTGGTGGATGAGATTTAAACATATGGTTATGATCATGACCGGATTTCGCCCTGACGATCCGACACTCGACGAAATTAGCGAATTCTCTAATAAACCTCCAATAGTTGCTGGGGTTCCCGTCGAATGGTGTTAGCTTCACCTTGAACAGGTCTATCGACGTGTGGCGATACATTACTTCAATCGGTGGTTGAGCCACTTCCGGCGTCAGTCTAATGGGCGGAGTTTGTCTTTCCGTCGCGGCGTGCTTAGTCGAGCAAGGTTGCCTAGCTTCTGATTCCCTGAGCTTCATCGACCTAATCTCCTGCCCTAACTCTACAATCTTACGAAGATATATATCAGACATCTTAACATCAGCATCGCAATCTAGGGCACATAAACTCCTAGCACTAACAGGACTAAGTGAATTAAAAATGTGAGAATCAGAACTCACCCCCCTCCACAAATTTCCCAGTGACTTGCCGGGTTACTTCCTGTCCTTCCACCTCGATCCTTCCTTGTTCGAACGACATTCTCTTGTTCCAAATTGTGCGAATTTGAGTACTGTATCTCCCGAATAGATCAATGAGTTACGCGTAGCCGAAATCGGATCCCAAAACGTCAACAAAACGAACGATCCAGCAAGTTTCTACGGTATTGCACTATTAGACGATCAAATAAGCAAACCTCAAAGTGATCTCGAAACCATGACGCTGCAAGCGAACGCAGGGAAGAACCCAAAACAGACTGCAATCCAAAAGAGCGCGCTGCTTAAGCTGAACCCTATACTGGTCGAAGGGTTGCTACGCGTGGGAGGGAGACTGGACAATTCTTCCTTGGCCTTCGACGCTAGACATCCGATTATTCTGCCGGCCGGTAGCCCTGTCACCACCTCGCTTATACGCCATCTTTACGTAGAAAACGGGCACGTGGGAACTAACCACTTACTGAACGCCATTCGGGAGAGATTTTGGATAACACGTGGTAGAACCGAAATAAAGGGGATCATCGGTAGATGTATGTTCTGTCGCCGCCAAAACGCGGTAACCGGAATTCAGGGTTCGAACAGGGGGATGGCCGATTGCGGAGACGGGAGTGGATTAGTTCGGCCCCTTGCTGGTGAAGTGCGGATGATCGGTGGCAAAGCGGTACGGGTGTCTGTTTACCTGCATGCAGTCTCGCGCGGTGCACTTAGAGATGGTACGCAGTACGTCTACTGAATCGTTCCTGATGGCACTCCCAAGGCTGATCAGTAGGCGCGGAGCCCCGAACAACATCTACTCCGACAACGGTTCAAACTTCGTGGGCGCGTCGAATGAGCTGCAAAAGTGGCTGTCCCGAGTCGACCAGAGCGAACTACACAAGCGACTGACATCCCAAACTATCCTATGGCACTTCAACCCGCCGTACGCTAGCCATAGAGGCGGGGTTTTGGGACGGATGAATAGGTAGGTGAGAAGGATTCTATTGGCTGTATGCAACCAACAGTCCATCGACGATGAGACCCTGAACACGGCCCTAACCGAGGTGGAGCGCATATTGAACAATAGGCCCTTGACACCAGTCGCGAGTGAAGCCCCGGGTTTCGCGCTTACGCCGAACGACCTGATACTTTTGAGACCGAATCGCGGACTGGCGGTACCACGAACTATCACGAAATATTATTCGAGCAGCTGGAGACAGGCCACCTACCTAACGGGAGTTTTCTGGAAACGGTGGGTCCGAGAATACTTACCTACCCTACAGGCACGTCAGAAATGGATACTCAGAGAAAGAAACTTTCGGGTTGGTGACATTGTACTGCTTGCAGATGAATGGCCCCTAGCGATCATCAAAGAATGCCTCCCGGACGACGACGGACTCGTGCGCCCGGTTAAGGTGAGAACGGCAACCGGCGAAACCCTGCGAGATGTCCGCTGAATCTGCTTCCTGAAGGGAGGAGAAACAGAGTCGACCGGGAACCCAAGTAGCTGAGGAATCCTCCGGGTTGGTGAGGGAGGCACTGTGAGTCATGGAGAACGGCTTATGGTTAACCTCCTGAGCCACCCGTGAGAGAGCGAGGGAGGCGCT